CTCAATGGGAAAGGAAAGGATTCTGGTTTCAACCGTTGCGTATATTAGCTGCGACGCATGAATCAAGATGCTATGACCAAAAACATTTGATTGACAGATGACCGTTGATATATGATTGGCTGAATTTATGTGTTCAGGCTGACGTAGAACTAACTGGCCTGCAGAAGATAACGAGAAAAAACACAGATTTTAAGACAGGATTTTTTAAAAATCTAAATTTTCTATATTTGGGAACAATATCGTCTGATAAAGAGCACATTTATAAACATGTTTAAGCCAGAATGATTTGAGATTTAAATATGATTTCCCTACAACTTTAAGGAGCTTAAGACAATCCAGTCTGTTTTCATGTGTTGTTCCAAGATGGTGGAAAGACCTACCAAGCGCTACAAGAACAGCACTGTCCAGGTCTATCTTCAGGAAACTCCTAAATACCCATCTCTTCAAAGAACATCTCCTATCCTGGGGGTTAGCGTCCCCCTTGCGGCTGCCTGGAGCTTTATCAAAAATTTATGAAAATTGATTTGTTTTTGTTTGTTTTAATATGGTGTGCAGGAGGTAACAAAAAATCACTGTTTTCCAATGCTGTAAACATTTGTATAATAAATAAATTTAAACAATAATTTGCGTCATAGCCATAGAATCGTCATAACTTGCAACCAGCGCGGCGCGGTGTCAGGCTAACAAACCCGCGGGTGTCTCAGGCCATGGATTCCAAAGGCAAAAAGGAAGATAGCTGATGCTTTCATTATCAATGGGTAAGGATTGCCTGCATGCTTGCTTTGTAATGAGAGGTTGTCAAAAAATAAAAATCTGGAAAGGCGTTTCCAGGGAAGGCTAAATATGCAGCCCACCACCTAGCTGGGAGGGAGAGAAAGGGCAGAACTTCTGGATGAATTAGAGGAGAGCAAAGATAGATCTAAGAAGTGGATTCCATCTCCAAACTCCACTGCTGCTGCTAGTTTGGTTGCAAGCATAGAAAACCATTCATAGATCCAACAGGTGGCGCTCTGATGCAGGGATGAGAAATTTCTTCCATTTTTTCCCCAAATCCTAAAACTATAAATCCCACCGAGGAACGCTGGTGATGGTGGATGTGGGATTTCAGGGTTAGAGAGCTCAGCTCTGATGATGTCACTTCCTGTTTGGTTCCTCATGACTCCATCAGCTCCTCCCATCAGAAACACGTCCACCACAGAAAGAGTCCTTTATCCTGTTTCTATCATTTCATCAATGTAACAGAAAACTACTGCAACAGGCGCAGACTTCCCTGCTTTCTGAGCATAAACCAGGCTTTACCCATAGCCCTGTACTCCTCTGCAACTCTTCCTAACTTCCCTCTATCTCTTTGCTGTCACCGATTCTGACTAGAGATTTTTCCTCTAGATAACTTCTTCTCAAATTGATGATAACGGTAAAATTGTCTCTACTGTAAGACACTTTGGATAAAAGCGTCTGCTAAATGCAAAAACATTAAACCAAACTTTCAATAGTTACAGAGATGAGTATCTGATCAGTTCTTCTGCAAAGTCCTGGGTAGTTTTCATGCTCTCTGTGTTGATGCGTCCTGATGCTGATTACCTGAGTTTCTTTTTGGTGTGCAGGTAGGTGTGGAAGAGGAAGTGAACAGCCAGCTGGAGGCTTTCTTTGGCCATAGGCTGGTAGTCTTGGTGCTTCAGTTTTGTCTGTGAAAAGGTTTTAAATGACGTTTGTGACGTTGAATCATTGCGGTCGTTTCCTACAGCACCGTATTGGACACATACCGCATTGACTGAAGCCAGGGAGAGGACGAAGCTGAAGTAGTCGCTGTTGTAGACGTCCCTGTTTCTCATGAACCTCAGGTTCTCGTCTCTAACCATCTGCAGAGCAAACAAGGAGCAGATCTTACCATCAAGGCCTCCAACCGCTCTGCTTCCAGGGATAAACCTTGGGTTAGATGCGAGCCTCTAAGCTACTTCACCTGGAAGATGCTGGCTGGCATCTTCTCGACAAAGAGGCCCTTCTTCTCGCCCTTGCGGACCAGGCGGGTCAGGAGGGTGAGGCGGTCGTTGTTGGCCCTAGGGGGCCGAGGAGAGGACTGAGGGGACACATCAGGGGAGGAGGGGGCGGACCTGGCAAAAATAAAAAGATTAAGCTGTTTGTTTCCACTTACTGTGTGTAAAAAAAAAAATCTTCTGCTTTAATTGATTGACACAGACACACATCCTGGCAAAAGTATCTCGTAACAAACTGTCTGCTGTAACCTAATCTGCCATCCCTGAATATAATCCAGCAGATTACCTTCATAAACATTAAATTCTTAAAGAACTGTATGAACTAGGGATGCACGATATTGGGATTTTGGCCGATATCCGATAT